GCATCTGTGGTCCCATCTACTTGGGAGGCTGAGGTGGGAGGAATTCCTAAGTCCATCTTCTCAGAATAAGGTAGTTGCCATGGAAACAATGACAATGACTAAAATCAGAGAGAAATATTAGCTGTTTATGCCACATATATACAGTTCTTCCTTCCTTCAAAGTAAGAGAGAAGTAATCTGGAGAGTGAGTAACAATCTTAACACATTGTAATACACTCACATTGATTCCAACAGTCATTGAGATTTTGCTACATGTCAGACCTATTATCCCCATTTTATCAATATGAAAGTTAAGGTTATGAGAAGTTAAGTAACTTTTCCAAGGGTCACATAGCTAGGATTCAAATTGAGACATGTCTGACATCAGAGTCCTCTCTGCTATGTGGCTGCCAATCATTCCAATCATTTGTGGTTATGTATGCATCTTTACTTCCCTCATTGTTCACTTCTTTCTCAATTTTCCTAAATAGCTTCCACGTTTATAATTCAACAGATATTATCTAATTCAAAATTCTAAAATTGTTCTGGCAAAATTTTGCAGTTCTCCAAGATTCCGCTTACCTTTTACACAACTTTCAATTCCCAGAAATATGACATATTACATAACTTGAGAAACATTTTGCCGTAAAACACTATGAATGCTGGAAAAATAACTAAAGCATATCTGATTTTTAAGCGATATCAGCAGGGGACAAAAATGAAGAGTGGTGAGTACAGGAGTTCTGGGTGCTGCAATCCTTTGCAAGATGTGCTGGTGCCACAGTGAAACATGCTTTGTTAGATCTAGAGATGTGGCCGGGCGCAGTGGCTCAAGCCTGTAATCCCAGCACTTTGGGAGGCCGAGGTGGGCGGATCACGAGGTCAAGAGATCGAGACCATCCTGGTCAACATGGTGAAACCCCGTCTCAATTAAAAATACAAAAAATTAGCTGGGCATGGTGGGGCGTGCCTGTAATCCCAGCTACTCAGGAGGCTGAGGCAGGAGAATTGCCTGAACCCAGGAGGCGGAGGTTGTGGTGAGCCAAGATTGCGCCATTGCACTCCAGCCTGGGTAACAAGAGCGAAACTCCGTCTCAAAAAAAAAAAAAAAAAAAAAAAAGATCTAGAGATGTGGATTTCAATGTCCTCAGATTATGAGACTGTGGGTCCTGGGCTCATGTAAAATAGAGAGCTAAAACCAACACCTCTCCATAAATTTAGAGCCTTCAAAAAGCTATGCACTGAATGAATGTGTAGAATGTATATATGTGTGTGTATACATATATGTATGTATATATGTATTACATATATACTATGTATGTATGAGATTACATACATATGTGTGCGTGTGTATATATATAATCTTGAAGGGTTGAATTTTATATATCTCAACTCTTCTCACTAACACTTTCAGTCAACACAGAAACTGGTCAGTTTGGACCCTTTCTGGAAGAAAATCATCTCCCTTGGAATTCGTAACCTTATATCAGCTCTTATCTGGCTTAGGATTTGAATTTATAGCTGGGGTTGCCAAACATTTTCTGTAAAGCGTCAGAAAATCAGTATTATCAGCTTTGAACATGTAGGCTCTATTGCAGCTATTTAGCCCTGCCTTTGTAGAGTGAAAGGTGCTGTAGGCAATGTGTAAACAAATGGGCATGTTTGTGTATCAATAGAACTTTTATAAAAGCAGGTGGTGGTTTGTTGATTTATACTATCTTCATAGGCCAGGAACCCTTAAGTCGGAAAAACTGATCCCAATAAAAATTGGTCTTTCACATTTCTGAATATAAAGCATACAAGAAAGCAGTTCAGCATGCCTGGGAGCCAGCAGACATAGGAGGAATGGATTCCTAAGACATTCAGATAATAGAATGACTAGATAGGAAGTATAAAATAAACATAAATGTGATTAAGGGCATAGAAAGACTCTAAAGCATGAGAACACAATGAAGAACTTATTAAAACAACAACAACGTATAGGTTTGAAAGAAATAATTAAATATAACTTTTTTTTTTTTTTTAGATGGAGTCTTGCTCTGTCACCCAGGCTGGAGTGCAATGGTGCCATCTCGGCTCACTGCAACCTCTGCCTCCTGGGTTCAACAGATTCTCCTGCCTCAGCCTCCCGAGTAGCTGGGATTATAGGCATCCTCCACCATGCCAGCTAATTTTTGTATTTTTTTAGTAGAGATGGGGTTTCATCACATTGGTCAGGCTGGTCTTGACCTCCTGACCACAGGTGATCCACCCGACTCAGCCTCCCAAAGTGCTGGGATTACATGCATGAGCCACCACGCCTGGCCAATCAAACAGAACTTCTATAAATGAAAAACAAAAGTAATTGAAATTAAATATAAATAGAAAATTTAAAGAGCAGAAGTGAGACTTAATGAGCTAAAACTGACAAAACTACTCATAACTTGGAGAAAGGAAGAAATGGAACATAGAAAAGATAAATTGGGATGGAGAAGAAACCAAAAAGACATTACTTACAAAGGAATGATAATTAGAATTGTAGTCTAACTTGGTGAATCTTCCACTTGAATTAAAGTAGATCCTTTTGAGAGCTACCTCTTTAGGGCTAATAATGCAACATCTTTGAGCACATCTTTCATCTCCTAGATTACCTCTTACGTTGGTCCCTTCTAGAATTTATTTTCTTCTAAGAAACAATTAGGCATTAGGCTGGGTGCTGAGGCTCATGCCTATAATTCCAGCACTTTGGGAGGCTGAGGTGGGTGGATCACAAGGTCAGGAGGTCGAGACCAGCCTGACCAACGTGATGAAACCCCATCTCTACTAAAAAAATACAAAAATTCATCGGCATGGTGGTGGGCACCTGTGGTCCCAGCTACTCAGGAGGCTGAGGCAGGAGAATCTTTTGAACCTGGGAGGCAAAGGTTGCAGTGAGCCAAGATTAAGCCACTGCACTCCAGCCTAGGTGACAGAGTGAGACTCTGTCTCAAAAACAAACAAACAAGCAACAAACAATTAAATCCTACTTCAGGTCCTTTTCACTTTCTCTTAAAAATGCTTCTGAAGTTAAGTAACGCTAAAAGTCTTTAGGAAGTGTGCATTTAGGTTTTTAACTTGTTTTCTTTTTTCTTTTTTTTTTCTTTTTAGAGACAGGGTCTCACTCTGACACCCAGGCTGGAATGCAGTGGGGCATGATCACGGCTCACTGCAGCCTCAACCTTCCCAGGCTCAAGCAATCCTCCTACCCCAGCTTCCCAAATAGTTGGGACCACAGGCATATGCCACCGCACCTGGGTAATTTAAGAAAAAAAATCTTTTGTAGATACAGGGTCTCCCTTTACTGCCCAGGCTGGTACTTATTTTCTGTTAAACATAAATATAACTTGATGCAATATTAGAGTTTTTCTCATACCCTTTAGAAACTCATTTGTACATGATACATATTTCTTTTCCCCAGTTCTTTTTGATTCCTCACGAAGCAAACATCTAGGGTGTTTAATACAAAGTGGAGCATTCTTGACTAACCATTTAAATATTCTCTCCATTTGTTAGACTCTGACATTAACAAGAATGGTTTCCACCTGTCTCTCTAAGTCTACTGGAAGGCTTTGGTATCCTAATAGCAAAGATTGCATATTCAGTGCCACAGCGAACTAAGCATGTAATATTTTAAGCACATTATTGTAAAAGAAGGGAATGACTAGTAACCTCTCGCAAAGTACAAGCAAGGAGGTGGTACACTTTTTTTGTTGTTGTTTTAACAATTAATCATGACAGAAGGACTCAGATGGGGAAAAGGACAGATGGTTCTTATTACACTCTGCCCCTAACTTGAATTACCATTCCCTTCAAACAGAATGTGCCAAAACTGTAACAGAAAAAATCATGAGATAAAAATCTGCAATATTTTGTCCCATCAAATTGTTTAAAACCACAACATAATGACAAGTACATTTAGTGAATACAGTGAAGTCAGAAAATATTTCGCCATAATAAACATCAACAGTCATCAACCATTTAATTGATTCAAACGTAATATATACACTGGCAAGTGATTGCATGTATGTTTTAAAGTGAATTTTTAAGGGTCCATCATATTGACTAATATAATCTTTACAACTCCACTGTAAGCTTTTATGGCTTTAATAGTTCACTAAGCTTTGACCTATATAAACTAAACATTTCTGAGTGGTGATGGGTGATGCCTAGACATTTTCTTTTCTTTTTATTTTTTGAGACGGAGTTTCGCTCTTGCTACCCAGGCTGGAGTGCAATGGCACGATTTCGGCTCACCGCAACCTCCGTCTCCTGGGTTCAGGCAATTCTCCTGCCTCAGCTTCCTGAGTAGCTGGGATTACAGGCACACGCCACCATGCCCAGCTAATTTTTGTATTTTTAGTAGAGACGGGGTTTCACCACATTGACCAGGATGGTCTCAATCTCTTTTTTTTTTTTGAGACGGAGTTTCGCTCTTGTTACCCAGGCTGGAGTGCAATGGCGCAATCTCGGCTCACCATAACCTCCGCCTCCTGGGTTCAAGCAATTCTCCTGCCTCAGCCTCCTGAGTAGCTGGGATTACAGGCAAGCGCCACCATGCCCAGCTAATTTTTTGTATTTTTAGTAGAGACGGGGTTTCACCATGTTGACCAGGATGGTCTTGATCTCTCGACCTCATGATCCACCCGCCTTGGCCTCCCAAAGTGCTGGGATTACAGGCTTGAGCCACCGTGCCCAGCCTGGTCTCAATCTCTTGACCTTGTGATCCACCCGCCTCGGCCTCCCAAAGTGCTGGGATTACAGGCTTGAGCCACCGCGCCCGGCCTACATTTTCAAATGTAAAGATACACATATGGTTTGGAAGAGCCTTAAATTATTAATATCAACTGAGTGGTAGATAAGGGGAATATTTTTCGAACTTTATAGGTATTTCTTACCTTCTTTACACAGAAATCTTATTAGATTGTCCTCAGTATGGCAATTCGTAATGTAATCTTATTAGGGAAGAGTGCTATGAAATGGAGACATGCTTTTTATCACTTACATGTGTGCAGACCCGTATACGCAGAATTTTCAGGATTCTGAAAGATATGAGTGAAAACTTTGTGTCAGAGAATATACAATTATGTGGCACTTATTTGGTTTTATGAATGTTTTGGAGGGAAAGTTGCCAGGCGAGGACTCATCCTCTAAGGAAGCTTGATAGCATGCTGGAACCATTTGTTCTGGATCTGTGCCAGGCCTCAGTGGTCAGCAATGAGGATGAGCACGATTGGCAACATGATTTTCAGAAAGAACAATCAAAACAGATTCTGTTTGTTGCCCCATGGATTGGTTCCAAGAAACATCTTTGTCTCTGGATGATCAAAGCATGGTCTGATAGGCTAAGAATGTAGTAATTGTTATAATTAGCCAATAATTTCGCAGCAAAAAAGTTATTAATGACTGCTAACTCTTTTGCATGTTAATGTTTTTGGAGGGAGGGGAGAATCTTTTGAGGCTTAACATTTAAAAAATGGTTCTCAGAGTTACTTTTGGCTGTGGTTGTTATTAGAATAACATAGAGGAGATTGTATTTAGTTGATGCCTTCAGAGAATCCTCTAGGGTGGCTGGTAGAACCTCTGTGTGGTTTCTGGAATCCCAGGTAAAGTTGTCCAGAGTGAGGTTCCCCTTGAGAACAAAGGGCAGAGAAAGAACAGGAGGAGCCTTGGATTTATAGATTCTACCATTTATTCACAAGAAAAATAAAAATTCAAAACACCTGCCATCTCTCAGAATAAAAAAGCAACACAGTAATTTCTTTTAAACAAAAGCAAACACAGGGCAGCAATGAGAAATTCATTATGAAAGAAAATGAAGCAAGTATCTGGACTTGGGCCCTTCGCAAGCCCTGAAAACTAAAGTCTGAACATCCTTGATAGATGAGTCATGCCTCCTTCCTGCTAACATTTGTACCTGAGAATTTTTTTTTCTTTTGTCACCATGAGGGAAGGAATTGTTTTTTCCTGTTGGCTCAGTAGAAGAGACTGGAGGATTCCACTCGCATGTCTCAAGCTGTGGAGTTGTGGGGAATGGTGATGTCAGAAAACAGGGAGATATTCCAGGTCCTGGGTTGCAGGTTGGGACTTCACTGCTTTCCCACAGGAACAGCAGTGAGCTGGAGTTCTTTGGTTCAGCTGCCTGGGGGTTAGTAACTTGCAAGGCCTGCTAGGAACCTCATTACCATTTTTAGCATTGTTTCCCTAGGAATATTTTCTTCTAAGTTCCAGGTGAATTTACAAATATCTGTTTTGAAAGTAAAAAATAGCAATTTGAGCCAGGCATCAGTAGCTCACCCCGTAGTCCCAGTACTTTAGTAGCCAAGATGGGTGGATCACTTGAGCCCAGGGAGTTCGAGACCAGCCAGGGCAATATGGCAAAGCCCCCTACTATAAAAGAAATACAAAATTTAGCTGGGCATCATGGCGTGTGCCTGCAGTCAGAGCCACTCAGGAATCTGAGGTGGGATGATCCCGAGTTCAGGAAGTAGAGGCTGCAGTGAGCCGTGATTGCACCACTGCACTCCACCCTATCTCAAAAAAAGAAGAAAAAATATGTAAATAAAAGTTTGTAGATTGAAGACAACTTGGATTTGAATGTCTCCTTTGTGTTTATTTCTTGATCTTTTCCATTATAATAGTGTTTTAATGATGCTCATTGTTAATCTTATGGATTCTTTTTTTTTTTTGGAGACAGGGTCTCACTTTGTCGCCCAGTCTGGAATGTGGAGTGCAGTGGTGCTAACACGGCTCGCTGCAGCCTCAACCTCCTGGACTCACGTGATTCCCCCACCTGAGTAGCTGGGACTACAGACGCGCACCACCATGCCTGTCTAATTTTTGTGTGCTTTGCAGACATGGGGTTTCACCATGTTGCCCAGACTGCTCTTGAACTCCTAGGCTCACGTGATCCACCTGTGTCGGACTCCCAAAGGGCTGGGATTATATTAATTTTGGATTTCTTTTTCTAGTGTCCCAAATACCTCAGAAAAACTACTTCACCAGTAAAAATATAATTGCTCTAAAACTAAATTTAGAATATTAATGGAAAGACGTGCTTCGATAAGTATAACAAAAAATGGTGAATTGTGTTGGCTTCCTATGTTTAATTGTGGGAAGGTAAACTATTATTAATATTTATGGACTATTTCCTATCTTTTCAAAGGTTTTGTTAGTCTCACAATGCTGCAGCCAGAGAAGCAGGTGACATGTATTATTAATGCATATGCAAATTATTCTAATGAAGTATAATCTCATTTGCCTTTTGTGCTGTGTTTGTGCTTTATTGAATCCACACAATGTCACACCTATGGAGGGAAGCTATTCTGTTTAGGAAGAATACATTTTTTTCCCTTTTTTTTTGTTTTGTTTTGGAGACAGGGTCTCACTTTGTCACCCAGGCTGGAGTGTAGTGGTGAAAACACGGCTCACTGCAGCCTTGACCTCCCGGGCTCAAGTGTTGCTTCTACCTCAGCTCCCCAAGTAGCTGGGGCCACAGGTGCACGCCACCATGCCCAGCTAATATTTGTATTTTTTACGGAATTTCACCATGTTGCCCAGGCTGGTCTTAAATTCCTGGATTCAAGTGATCTGCCCACCTCAGCCTCCCAAAGTGCTGAAATTACAGGTGTGAGCAGCCGCACCTAGCTGGAAGAATACATTTTCCTCTATTATTCTACCTACACTTCATTCAGGCTGTCTTCAACCAAAATGAATAAATAAGTAAAATTCCACAACAAATAATGAAACCAAAACACCTAACCATACTTGTACTTTAAAAATAAGAAGAAATGAGGCTGGGCGTGGGGGCTCACACCTGTAATCTCAGCACTTTGGGAGGCCAAGGCAGGCGGATCACCTAAGGTTGGGAGTTCAAAACCAGCTTGACCAACGTGGATAAACCCCATTTCTAATAAAAATACAAAATTAGCCAGGCATGGTGGCACATGCCTGTAATCCCAGCTACTAAGGAGGTTGAGGCAGGAGAATCGCTTGAACCTGGGAGGTGGCGGTTGCAGTGAGCTGAGATCTGCCATTGTACTCCAGACTGGGCAGAAAGAGTAAAACGCCATCTCAAAAAAAAAAAAAAGAAGAAGAAATGGAAGCTCTCCTCTCTGTCCACCATGCTGCCATCCTCCCTTTCCCAATCCAGTCATTATTCCCTCCAGGAAATAATTTGGACTACAAATTTGTCCAAAATATGTCCTAAGAAAAATTGAATTCCAGCCAGGCATGGTGGCTCATGCCTGTAATCCCAGCACTTTGGGAGGCAGAGATGGGCGATCATCTGAGGTTGGGAGTTCAAGACCAGCCTGGCCAACATGGTAAAACACCGTCTCTACTAAAAATACAAAAAAAATTAGCTGGGCATGGTGGCAGCCACCTGTAATCCCAGCTACTTGAGAGGCTAAGGCAAGAGAATTGCTTGAACCCAGGAGGTGAAGGCTGCAGTGATCTGAGATCACACCACTGCACTCCAGCCTGGAAGACTGAATGAGACGGTCTCAAAAAAGAAAAATGAAAAACTGAATTCCAGTGGAGGCTTTCTGATTATGGTGACTATGAGGGTCAAGATTTTTCTAGTGCATTTCTTGCCAGCACCACTGAATTCTTCAGAACAACCGGGGTTTAAATATTACAAACATACCAGTTTACACTTTTTACCATTACTTCAACAGTACTTTTTTTAGTTGCATGTGACAGAATCTTCAACTAGTTAGAGAACAAAGGGCATATACTATAGATGCTGTATGCTGATATAGCAGTGAAGGCAGTCATAGATGAAAGCTTCAGGAACAAGAAGCCCAAGGAATAAACTGGGCACAATGACTTCAGGGCCCGCTCCTTGGCACCATCTTTCTCTTATTCCTAGTTGTCTGCTTAGCTCCATTCTTTAGAAGGCTCTATTTGAGAAGATGAGTTATGGCCACAGAGAACCCCAAGGTTACATTTATCAGTTATTCATTCAAGAAGAGGACAAGTCCTTTCCCTCCAATTTGGGAAGTTCTGGGTGAAGAATTCTTATTAGTCTGGCTTAGAGTGCAGCTTCACCTTGTGAAGTTATCCTTATTTTAGGGTAGAGTAGGAATACAAGTGACCCACCATGATCCTGGGATGGTTGTTACAGTGAATCTGGCAATGTGCAATGGAGCACATATTTTACAATCTCAATAGAAGCAGGAGGTTGACCAGAAGAAGGAGTATGTTGAATCTGGGAGGCAGATGAAAATATTAACTATACAGTCCATTATATCATTTCTCTTAAGAATTTGTATCAACCAGAGACCCTAAAAACATGAGGTAAGATGAGGCACTCATATTGGGGATTTTCAAGAGACCTTAATAAAGAGACTATATACAAGGATGCAAGGGGGATGTGGAAAAACCACAGTGATACAATTTCTTGTGGCTGGTGAGAGCAAAGGCCTTACTAATCCTAAGTCTGGTCAAGGATGCAGCCCTTTCCCTCTCACAGTGACCACCTTAGGGAGGGATATGGGGAATAAATTCTTCAAACTCTGTCCCTGTCTCCCATATCCTACCGATGTACTCTATTAGCTGAACCTGCCTAGAAGCAAGCAGACAACAGAGCCCATTGATGTAGTGCAAAGGTCAGTCTACCAGTCCAGGGACCAGAGTGGAAATGGGTGGTGATCTGGAGGGCCAAACAGAAAATTCACAGCATGGACTGACTTACATACAGACAGATACACAACATATATATGTACATTTCATGTGTTAGAAACAACCATGTAACTGAATATTCAATATAGCCATATATATAAATATGTCAATGAGATGATATTATCCATGATATTCAAAGATTAACTTGTCATCAAGTATTGAGTTAACAAAATCTAAAGGTTATTATTTCCCTTTAACATTTTTTTCTAATCACACTTTAAAATACCACTGCATTGCATTGGATCATTTTGTAATTATGTTTTTATAATGATGAGAGATTTCTAGTAGATGAGTGGCCTGGAAAAAATTCAAAGAGACAGCATGGCATAATGAGAGCTTTTAGAGGCAGGCCAACTTG